CACACACACACACACATGAAAAAAAAAATCTGTCAGACACAGAGCCAACTAACTATGTGCATAGGAGGGGAGGGTCAAAGTGTGCATATCATGACCTTTTACAGAGTGCTATTCAACAGGTACATATTGGATATCAGGGTTATCAACTATTCATTTTACCTACATTGTTGGTTTAGCAACAGTTCCTTGGAGAGAATACAATATGTAGGGATACTAAAACAACAGTAGATATGCATTTCTGTGGTTCTAGGGGTTATGTAAGTACAACATGCAAAATTTACAATGGACCAAAGCATTTTTTATTCTTCACATAAAAATCAACTTGCACTCCAAGTTATCAAAGTCTGAATGTGACTAACATTATTTCAAAAATTCCCAAACATATCTTGAGTACAAATACTTTTGTAATACGTCTCATTTTTTGTGTACAACAGACTTGTACATCTTACAATAAAACTTGCCACATTTTGTGTAGATATATACGAAGATAAATTTGGAATTACAGTCAAGAATCTTTGTCCAACATGAGGTAAGTCCAATGTACCAACCCGTATACATTCAGCTAATGGTCGAGGATCACTGATCACAGGATCTAGATATATTCCACAAGGTTGAAAAGAATTTAAAGTGACAACAGGAAGGTCTCTTTTAGTGTTAACAGAAGATTTATGGTTGTTGAAATGCTCTTTGAGAGTCACTTGCACATGCCATACATACTGGTGATTGATTTTCTACTACGTAAATGGTGGTGGTTGTTGTGCAAGTAATCTCTTTAGAAATTTTAAAGTGTCTTTGGTCATATCTGTTGGAAAGAGGTGGTAGTTTTTATGAACTTGCAGGTTAAACAACAAGCTTTCTCATGTTTGTAAATTCTTTATTTTTATCTTAAATCTTTTTTAATACGTATTATTTATGGTCATTTTCCATTGTTTGTTTGTTTTTTATCTTTTCAGTACTGTTTACTTAATATTTTCATGTTGTCATAGCACTCTACCATGACATCCACATTTCAAAAATTCTAGAGTTATAGGATTTTGCATTTTTATCTTTAATTAATTTTTGAACCTAGGTGTTTTCCTAACATCATGAATTATTCTAAAGCTATGTATCTTTACAATATCTTAAAAACCTTCGATACTGAACACTCTTTCAGCTCTTTCTGTAAAAAGGTTTTATTTTTTCCATGCTGTGTGATATTTCAATTTCAGCAGGATATAGTTCATTTTCATTACTATTCAAGCTAATGTAATCATATAAAAGTTAGTTAAATAATACTAAGTATAGAATATGGGATACAATTTGACCTACTAAACTTTTCTAAACAATACTACAAAATCATGGAGAAATGTATAGCAATTTGCTACAAATCCAACTTCCTATAACTTGTTAAAGAGAGAATTTAGTTATGTATATTTCTTGATATTAGCTTCAAAAGTTAACCTTTGATTTATTATAATCCTTTCCAAAACAAACAAACAAGAGTTATAATACAAGCAAACAGAATTAAAATCTTAGAAATACACGTTTGAAGTTACTGATAAGAAGGTGTAAACTTTTGGTATCTTATTTGTATCTAATGCAATCCTTGCCTTCAACACTGTGAACCAACGATGTCTATGAAAATGTAGTTACACACAATAAACAATTATTTTTTCAGATTGAGCATAACATGCTAGGCATTATACAGCATAAAGTTGGGTATCTATTACAGCACTGACATCACATCTTGGAAATGAGCTCTTTGGTATGTCAGAATTATTATTGTGAAACTAAGAACTCTACTAATTTTTCCAAAAATATTCTGAGTCTCAATATACCCATCCAGTTTGTTTAAATAAAAAAAAGTGAGGGGAGGGGTCTTTCATCTTTCTGTACTTTAATTTATACTGCATTGGGCTATACTGGTTATTATTGATAGAACTGAGAATAATCTCTTTCAACTGTGTACTATTCAAACAAACTTCCAATGAAGAAAAACTTCAGGTGTTTGATAGCTGCTGCTAAGACAGCCACTAAAGTTGACAGTCTGAAGTGAAAATGGTAAAATAAAAGACTAAATTTTTATTGAAAACTTTTTTTTTAGCAGAATCTTGAAAAATAAGAGAGGAGGGAATCGTAAGCAATCTGATGAACCTCCACTGTGAACAATATGGGATATCAGAAGTAATACAGACCCACCTTAACTTGTGCATAATCACTAGCTAAATCTATGCTCTCTGGAGTAGCTAAGGGGGCAGGTAACATGCCAACCTTGGGATGCAAGCTTCCACATCTTTGAGTAGTCAGGTTAAACTTGGCAATGGCATCAGTGATATTATTGAACTGCTGAAGGTTTAGCTTTCCTGGCTACAATAAGAAGAAAAATGAAATGATGAAGATAAATGCATGTAAAATCACTTTTTTGTTTACAAATTAATACCGAATATTTTTGAGTAAAAATTCAAACATATTACCATTTAATTTGAAATAGTTAATACCAATAATAATACCATAAATATAAGACAAGCTATTTTCCTGTTTTTTGACTTTGTAACATTTGCAACCAACTAAACAAGTGAAAAAAACAACACTAAATTATAATTATTTCATATCAGGATAAAATAACTGTTATTATGACAATAAGAATAAAAACAGAATGTTAATGAAATACAGATATACAGAACAAATGTGATAAAAAAAAGGAAGAGATTCCTGCATATATTGCAATCAAAAACACTAATATTTCAAAGAGCTTTATGTTCCACGTAATTTGCCTACTCAGACTTATATAATTAAGGATACAAATACAATGAAAAATATATAACAGTAACCTTAAAATGCGGGAGATATACTACTATGTTACCAATTCAATAAGATTGGCATTGTCTAAACCATTTCAGTTAATTTCTCAAATAAATACTTCAAAAATGTATTATTTACAACTTTACTTGCAAATTTCAGACAGAAAACTTGGAATGGGCAAAACTAATCTTGCAATAATGCATTAATGGCTTCTACTAAAGGGAATTTTGCAAACAAAAGATGGTAGGCTATGTACCAAGAGGCAGGGTAATGTAGTCTGTCACACCAAATAGCTGTGCTTTATCCTATCTGGTCCACATCTAAAATAAAGCATAAATGAAAATTCCAAGTGTAGGCCCAGTCAAGAAAAGCAAAGCAATAAAGACAGATCTCAGAAATACATGCCAGCTATTAATATATATATATATACAACACGCACACACGCACAGGGTGGTCCAAAACTAGGCATAAAGTTAAAATTAAAGTATACAGTTTATAATTGATAATTTATTTAACAGCCCTTTATACAACATGGAATTATTGGAAAGTTAACCCTAAGTTAATCACGTAGGTGTTCAAACTAAAACCTGTCACAGTTCACACAATCCTGGAGTCTGCCTGCCACACTTCTGCACTTTCTGACACAAGTCTGTCTGTCCATCAAGTTCTGTAAATATGTCTGTGATGTACCCTTTCATTTCATCAACATTCCACAATTTCCTGCTGAACACTTTGTCTTTGAGTACTCCCCAGAATAAAAAGTCCATATGCAACTGTATACCTACTTTTGGGACATTCTGTGTATTTGTGTGTGTGTGTATGTGTGTGTGAACAGTATTGTTGCAGTCTAACCATCACCGAAGATTTAAAATAGTAAAAGTACCAAGAGAAGCATTTTAATCATAGACATCCAAAACAGTTAGATGACCCAATACAGTTGTTATAAATGTGCCTAAACCACTTGATACAAATCATAAACTTCTATGAGAAACTATAGATAACATGACCTGAAACCAAAACATAGTTAACCAAGTGTGTCTAATCTCATGCTAAACTGTGGCATACAAAATAAACCTAAAGCACAACATCATAAAGTAGTGAAGGAAGGGATGAAGAGACCTGAAAAAAAGACTGCAGCAAAAGATTGAATATACTTAAGGAGAGATGAAATAAATTAGCTGGATCAAAGGACCTTTGACCAACCAAGACAGAGACCCAATAGGACAATACATGAGAAAGCACAACAAGATGGAGACTTGTGTGGAAGCATAACCACTGGAAAGTTCTAGAAATGTGCATAAATCCCTAACAGAATGATCTATCCTGTCCCTGTGTCAGGCAACAAAGAATGCCAAAAAAAAAAGATGAAACATTTTGAGTATATGGTAACTTATGATATAGTAACATCAGAGATTTGAACCTGTGTCATACAGAAGAAAACAAAAACCAAGAGTTAAGTTTCAACTGCTTTTATTATTTTAAAGCAATCACTGAGTGTAGTACTACAGAAACTTACTTTCTGCTTTCCTGGTTTAGGTTTTGTAGGTGGAGGAATCTTATGGCGTCCAGAATGATACGTATGATACATCTCATTATCTAACCACTCCCGTGCTCTTAGTTCCTGTTCATATATTCTGTTGTCTACCCAACCTAAAAGATCAAACAACTTCCATAAAGTATTTTCTGAATTTAAAAGTACATCTAAAGCAAAAGTCCTTTTAGAAAAAGCATATATTCTTGATATGACAGTCTTCTGTAAGTAATCTTTTAGAAAAACTCACCAATATGTATCATTTATATTAATGTGAAATAAACTGTAATATCTTAATCTAACTTGCATAGACTGAATAAAAGTAATCATCAAATAAAGTAATAAAACTATCATCAAATGCCTGTCATTTTTTCTTTGTATCTGATACAGGTTATTAGTTTAAAAATAACAGTATCCATAACAATTATTTTAGCTTATTCAATTACTTAATGTGTTTTAGAGAAAAACTATAAAAATCCTAAATTAGCTATTACACTTTTGTAATTAAAAGAAAGTTTATTGATTGGACTAAGCAATTAAAGTATGAACTCAATCAAAAATGATTGACTTGCCTTTCAGTTTTTACAGATAATAAAATCAGAAAAAAAAAAAAAATATTTTGCTCTATAACTATAAACACCAAATTAGAATTATTTTTATATATAAATACAAAGCAAAAATTTATGTCTAAAAATATTATCCAAATGTTAATATGTTCAAAACTTTGTGGAAAATTTTGCTAGTTTTGGCAAATGGTTTCAAAGGTACTACTAATATCTAAGCTGACTACAAAATTCAGCAGAACTAGAAAACAAATTTGTCTTAATATATGTGATGTATAAACATCAAAAGAACAATTGCTAATACTTTATTTCAGTGGTAGTTTGTACTTTTAATTAGTGGTTTAGCCATTTAGCTCCATTGATTGAGCAAACAACTGATAAGAAAGCAAGATTATTTCCTTGGATACAAAATATTCACAATAGGAGTCATAAGACAAAAAAATTACATAGAAGAAATTCATGCTTTTCAGAATGGATGACGAGTTTAAAACACGAGTGTAAAAAGATGACTCAAAACAGACAAAAAAAAATACAACTGGGTATTCAGGACTGTCTACGAAGCACTTTCAAAGACAGTGTGACAAAACTTAGAATCATAAATACAAAATATAAAAAGGTTTCAATCCTAATAACTAATTCATTTAAGTCATAAGTTCAAACCATATTAAAAATTATTTTTTTGTCTTTTTTTTTTTGCACTACATATATTGAAAAAATTCATAGTTATCAACAAAACATGGATAAATGCTTGTTTTATGGAAACATTTATCAAAATACAATATGCTTTTTCATTATGGCATATCAGAAATTACAACTGAGCTAAAAATTTCAATCACAAAAATCTATTAAAATACTAAAGAAATAAACAACCAAAAATATCTGAATAACCTCCAGTACTGTTAAGTAATATAATGTCACAGATCTACAAACAAAAATTCAACTTTATCCCCAAGACAAGGTAAATAGGTCTTTCAAAAAACACTAATTTACACTCTTGAAGTTGTACAAGTTTAAGTTACTTCAAAAAACATAAAATTGTACTAACAAGGTGAATTTCAAACACTTTATGACTTCAAACAAGAAATCACCTAAAGTGCAGATCAATGGGAGACATCCTGCTAGCTGACAAACCTTGTTGGTTTGTTATAAATGTAAAACATGCATATTTGTAATGAAAATGGATTCTAATACCATTGTGTTACTAGATAAGATCACCTAATGGTTCTTTTGTTTTATACTGTTTCTAGCAATATGCATATTAAAACTAAAGAAAATTTTTTACTTTAACACTCAATTACGTATTTATGACATACTTTTTGTTTTACAATCACAGCACATGAAATTTCTTGATCAAAATAACAATCACCTGGTTCCCTGTTTAGAGAATCTTGAGATCCCCCATCCTCAGCTGCTTGCAGTAAGATAAGACTTTTCATTCACTTGTGTAAAATTTATCCAAACTCAAAAGTAAATAGCATCTATGCTTAAAACTAAAACGTTAACATCAGAAAACTTTTTAATTTACTTGAACGTTTTAGTACCTTTAGTTTAAAATAACTGGATCAAAAATAAAATATAACTTCTTAGTTGTTTAAAAACCTGTCTGATTATCTTTGTTTGTGTTTACTGTATTTTATACAAAAAATAATTACTTTTATTAACTTTCTTTTTTAATAATTCTAAAACCGTTTTAAAAAAAGAAAGTAAATTTACTTGTTTAATGCTTTTGAAATTAGCAATAACAATTTGGGACAAAATTAGTTGTAGAAAACTTAAGTAAAACTTATTTTCATTTACCATTAACCTAGACATGACCATGCAGATTAAACCTCAAGTTTTTAATTTTGTCTTCTACCTAACAAAATCTTGTTTCTAAATCTCATATTAACAAAATTTATTCCCCTATTCATTATCAATAAAGTTTGATCTTTGGAAATAAATGTTAAAGTTTCAAGAATACTACAAAGTTTTAACAAAATAATTCAGACAATATTATAGTATTTATGAATGCAATGCTTGCACACTAAAATCCCTAAAACACTACATTAACATTTGCCTACTTTCAACAGTTTCATGACAGTAAAATAAAGTAACAGCCTTAAACATAAATTCACACCAATAATAACTGAATTATAATAACAAAAGTATAAAAATCTCTTGTTGAGTAAACTATACAACTCCAAAAGCAGATGTGTAGTGCTACATGCAACACATGCAGAAAGTTTAAATCAGTCACACTTTCAGTAAGGAGGATCCCAAACCCACGATATTCCACTGCTGCATAAAAATAATTCAATAATGTTGAATACAACAGTAAAAGTACATGTAAAACATAACAATTCCAAATGCAAACATGCAGAAAAGATGCCATGTCCACAGCAATTGTCAAAGACATTCCCCTAAATATGTCGAATAAAATAACACATTTTCTGGCTTTGTTACTCACTTTCAAAAGAATAGCCCATGATTCCAGCAACAAGGTAGAGAGGTGACACTGAGGATGGAAGGAGAAGGGAAAACATGTTGAAGATGGGAAAACTGACCAGTCAAAAAGAGCATATGCTCATTCATAATCGCTGTCACTAGCAAACAAGGACTTACATCACAAAAGGGATGTTGATTTTAAAATTTTAAGCAACCGTGAGGACAGGATCTGACAAAACATGCCTCATGTAATTCTGTAAGCACGTTATTCTAAGTTTCAATAGTAATTTCTGTTTAGAACTTAAAACAGAGTTCAATGCTGTATATTTTTAATAGTAATATATTTATTGAACTTATTCCATCACTAACTTTACCAGTATCTGCAAGATTCATAAGCAACATGTATCTGAACATTACACAAACAATCAATTAAAATTTGCTACTGAAGCGAGAAATGAAAAACAGTTTTACTAACTCTAAGGAAGTTTTTTATTACTTAACTTATTATTATATGACATCACAAGTTTACATCCTTGTGTATCACTTTTTAAACTATTATATCATAACAAAAAAAGGGGGGGGGGCAAGGACTGTAACCAGTTAGAAAGTGAATACATGCAAACTTTTGCAATTGTTTAGAATCATACTGTAAAGCAGAATCATATTCAAACTGCTGCCCATTAGCAAAGCTTATGCAAATAGTTTTCATTCTAAGCAGGAAAGAATAAACAGCTGCTAATGTAAGTAAATGTCTTTCAATTATCAAAAATTATCTAATGTTAATTAGCAGTAATAGAAAGATAGTTATCACTTAATAGAAAAAATAACTTTATGGAATTAAAATGTGCAGAAATATTGTTGAAGAAATATGTTTTATGTTAGAGATACATTAAGTTATGGAAGGAGCAATGAATACTGAGGTGAAAATGATATTCAATGAGGGTTAATAGAAAAACTCACTAACTTTTGCATATCAACTGTTCTTGCTAGCATAACAAAACTATTAAAAGTGTTACCTAGAACTTTATAAATAACAAATAAAGAATACCCAGGCAAGTAATCACATATCTCTTCCAGAAAACATTTTTCGGTGTTAATTCTGCATTGTAAGCAATCTATCAGTTTCTGAAACTAGTATGAACATTTCTGCACTTTGATAGGACAAGTACAAGTAAGACAATCACTTTTGTGTAAGTATGAGTAAGTGTTTGTCTTACTACATTTAATCATATTTTTGAAATGAAAAAACAAAAACATTAAAAACACTCAACCTTTTATTTATGGAAAGAGTTCACTTATTGAGAAGTCACTAACTTTTCTCTCTTTGAAAAGAAATAGACGTCAAATTATCTTATCACTCCACTAGTAATCAAGTGTTTCTTACATAGATTTAAAAATATGCAATGAAAACAATAAATTGTTCTATACCAGAAGTAAGTTGGTTAACAGACTTAATATTTACACCTGTTTCTGAAAATCATTGCAATCCTCTCTGTTCTTGTATAAGTACCAACTTCAAATACACTGACTATACAGTTATTTGAAAATTTCAAAAACCAAACATAAGGCAATCAACACTGCAGTGCATTATAACAATAAAGTTCCTGTGAAGTAATTTAATAAAATTATTTCCAAAAATAACTCTCGGACTGTCAAATTATGCCTTAATGCCTAGTCGAATTAGTCAGAAACTTCAATAGATTAAATATTTCAAGATGTAAACAGCTAATTACAGACAAATTACATCTGTATCTAATGCATAATTTCTACATCTATTCATCTTCCACCAATTAATATATCAGGTACTTTGGAAGAATACAAAAAATGAAAACTGAATTTGTAAACTCCAATCTTTTTTCATATAATAACTAGGCCCTATTGTACAGTCCTAAACTTCTGCTAAGTAAAATGAAACCCAAATACAAAGAAAAAAATTTAGCTGCTGGCAGTAGATTTGAATTAACTTTAGCTTCATACCCATTTCCCAACAAATTTACTATAACAGAAAAATACAGATTTTTAATGTACTGCCAGAACACTTAGAAAACATGCATAACAACCTTGTATATTTTTGAACAATTTTACTTCAAGGTTCTTGACATCTATTTTTATTGTAGTACTTAGGGCTTTCTGTTCAACTGTATAACCTTAACTACACAGTTATAGAATCACATTTATTTTAAATCCTTTTAAAGCTCTTTTGAGTGTTCGTCATAAAATTTTCATTCTTCTTCCTAAAATATTATTTTAGTGTCTCCAACAGAAAAATGAAAAAACATTGTGTTTTGACAAGTGAAAATATAAAACTTGTGCCTTTAACCCTTTTGCTATGAGCTCAGTTGATTCGGCCAAGTTTGTAACCCCAAAGTGACAATCAGAGTATCCATATTATAACTTTTAGTATATCTTGTATATCTCCATGAAATCTAGCACGCTTTCAGTAAACATTACATGCTTTTTGTACCCAAAACTCAAATTTCTTTAATTAAGTATTTTTTGTTAAAAATATATCCATGAATATATGGAGTCAATGTTAAGTGCTTCAAGAGCAAAGTGATTTTCATGTTAAGATTAAAAAACTTTTCATCTGAAATGACTGCAAATTGTAACAAGAAACAACAATTGTTTATCCTAAATAGCTTAAAGCTAATGATACTATACATCTGTATATATTTCAATATTATTGTTTTATTGCCCTTTGACACATATCCAACTAATATTCCCATCACACAAGTTGAAAATCACTCAGCAAACACACAAGTCAAGTTACCATGTTGAATTATGTAATGCAAGAACTGCTTGCGAGCATACCATTATTTTTCATTATCTTACCTAATCTAACATCATCTAACCTGATAAGTTTCTAATTTTTACATTTTAGTTACTTTTATAATAATAAATAAAGAATATACACGAAAAACAAGAAATATAGTGCATACTTATGTCCTTGTTTTTTTTCTTTGCCGTTGACTGTTGATGAAAGTTAAGACTACGTTTTTTTTTCTTTTTATACTAATGGCACTGGTACACTAAATTTTTTTATTTAATCAAATAATTCACCTAAGAACACAGAATAATAACATGCACAAAGCAAACAAGGTTCTATAACTATCCTACTTTATCTGTTTTTCTAACAATATTATAAAAACCTTTAAAAATTTAACTAAGCTTGTTGATGTGAATACCAGGAGTGAAATTTTCAAACTGGAGGCAAAATAGACATTACTCAGTAGAGAAAACAACATAATGTAATACCTCATTTGATAGATTAAAACCTTGGCTTTCTATTAGTTATAAATAATATGGTATAAAACATCAGATAGAACTATTGGCAATTTGTGAAAGAAAGGGTGTGACAGGTGGATCTGATTTTCTAGTTTATGGCTCCGTAAATAAATAAGATTGAAAGCTATAAAAATTATGCTTTGCCTTAGTAACATCTATATTATAAAGAGTAATTTATATTAAATTCTGTACTTTTCATAGGGGTGATAAATAGAGAAAAGAGAGAAGCTAGAGTACAAATGTCACAATTATCTTACTAGTGGAGAGAGAGAATTTTTTAAATTATTTCCTTTAAAACTTATATAATATCAAAATTTGATTTATTCACTATATTTTGATGCCAAGTTTAGTCATATACAATGATAATAAAGTACTTTAATTAAATTTTGAATGTAACTCTAATGTCACGACATGAGCATTTTAATCTGTCTGTAGCAAGAGGATTAAGTGAAAGTCCTATCCTATTTGTGGTTGTTTTGTTATCTTAAAGTTATAAACTGACATAGCATTAGTTTTTAAGTACTGTAAAATATATTCCTGTCACAGAAGGTTGTTGACATAACAAATTGTCATAATTCCAGAATGATGAACAAATAATTTCAAGTACTGTCAATGACTCATTACTTTTTCACAGTTTTTTAAAACTATAAAAACTTCAGAATTAAACTTTATATCATATTAAGGAAAAAAAATTGTCTACTGAATGTTTAAAAACCTTGGTATCTAATAAGAGCTGTAATTTCTGAAGTATAACAATTTGCTTGGAAGAGAAATTCAGATGTTCTTTAATCTGCAACAGCAGTTTTTGACTTTCAAAATTCCAATTATATGGATTTATTAATGCTAAAATAAGCCCTAAGTTCTACTTGAAACCATTATAAAATACAATAACAAAATTATGTTTAAAATGTAAAGAATAATCACTTTTGCAGAAAAAGTAGTTTGTGTGTGATAAGAAATAGAAAAATTTGTTAGTTAAAAAAGAATCCCAAAAGATGAGTAAGAAGAAGAGCAGTTTGTACCCTCATCCAAACTTGTACGAGAAGCATGATGTCCTGTTGGAATAGGAGGCCCCCTCCTTATACGTGATGGGGGAAGGTCAGGAGGGGCAGGTTCTGGAGGAGGGGGATGTGTCCCATAACCTTCAGAGAAAAGAAATGGAAAGTTCAATCTATTTCAAAACCAATACTGTCTCAGTTTAATAGGTTATGTTCAGTAGGTTAAGGATTCATTAAAAAATAAGTATAAAACATTTCTATTAAACATCTTGTCTGACTACTATGTTATAGAAAAACTGAGTTAAAGAAGGAAAAAAATATCAGCATTTCATTACAGCCTTCTTAAAAGCAACATCATAAGTAATATGTTCTTTAAGATTCTGCTTCAACTTACATGAAAAAATTTTTCTTTGAAAGTGGAGCCAATACTTAGTTTAAAACAACAGAAATAACCTGTGAAATGTTAAATAATGTGGTCAAGTACAGTTACAGTTTCCTATATAGTGAAGATAAACCTTTAGTTTCTTTCTTTGATAAACAAAAGTTGACAAAGGTTTTGAATGGACAGCCAGCTGGCGAAACGTTGTGACAAAATTCTACACTTCTACCCACAAACATATTTTTTTTTTATGTCCTTATAAAAGACATTAGTGGATAAAAATACTGTCCATCCATCCTTTCACCATTCACAACTTGTCATTATAAAATCTTCAAGCTTTGTGAAATGAAGTGCTACACATGACATATCAGAATTGACAAACAAAATTTAATGTTTAAAACAACCCTGTCCTATTCTAAAAAAATTCACCAATAAAGATAAACTTCAATACAAAAAAATAAACAAATATTAAGTTATTTTACATTTATTTCAACAAAATTCCAAGTAAGTATTAAAATTTCTACAAAATCTAAAAACATCTTCAGTGCAAGAAGTTTTATTTTCTTATCTTAGCTGACCACAAACACTCAAATAGAAAATATTTATCTTCTCTTAAAATTAGTTTTGAGAGAAATCAAATTTTTAAAAACTAAAACAACAATATTCTATTTTTATTCAAAACAAGAGTCAGAAAACAATCATACTTTTCTCAAAAGGTTATTCTACAAATCTTATAATATGCACAATCATCATCTACACTTAAAGCATATACACAGACTAAGATATTACAAGTAAATACAACTTACATACATATACAAAAATATAAACATGACAAATCATGCAAAGAAAAATACAATATATTCCATGCATTCAAACCAACAAGTTAAATTCAAGAAATTAATGTGACATGTACATGTATATAATTATAGAAAACACTATGAACTAACACAAATACATTCGAACACACCCAAACTTTAGCTTGGTTATATTAAAAATGGAAAATGAATCAGGTGATACTTATTACACAACACCTTAAACTCCAAAACAGAAAAAAAAAAAATTATTGTACTGTAACTACTACACTCAACAGAGCAGGTATTTATTAAAATAAGTGATGTCAGTATTGAAGACTTAAAAGGAAATATAAATTAACATAAACAAAAAATTATCATGCAGCAAATAAAGAAAATTTACATTAAGAAAATTATTACAAACCAATTATTTCAAGAGGGCCACATATACAATTTCAGTAACCATTTCTGTCAAAAAAAAAACATGCTCATGCAAGGATTGACTACGGCTCATGCAGCTGTTCTTTCTAAAATGCCTCAAACCACATCAAGAAAAAGAAAACTTTAATCACCACTTAAGCCTGACGACAATGTATCATCATCGTCAGTAATGCTGTCTGAGGCATCCATGTCATCAGTTGGCCTAGGTGCAGAAGCTAGACTGGGAGCTGATGGAGCAGAGGAAATCCCTGCCTCAGTTCTCTTCCCTCGTTCAGCTTTTTTTAGAGAATAACGGGGAAACAGAGATGGCTTGGGTTTGTGAGTACCAGGCCTTCTCCTTCCTGTAGCATAGAGAGATGGGTGAGCTGATCCTGGGGGTAAGGGGTACTGAGGAGGGGAGAGGTGAGGAGAGTAATGAACTTGAGTTTGATAAGATGATGGGGAAGCTACAGTTCCTGTGAATGTGGAAAGCAGTGGGGGTGGAAATGTGAGGTCTATGCCTGTGTGGGAGTCTCTTTCAAACTGAGAAGGAGGAAGAGGTAAGGGAGGAGCAGAGTCACGAGATTTTAGTGTAACAGACCGATCAAGAGATTCTGTGCTAGGGAAAGACTGGCGGCACAGTTCTGAAAAAGATGTTAGAAAGCGCCCACTGGTTAGCTGCAACAAGACAGAAACATCAAAGAAAAACAGACACCAAGTTAACCAGCAACAGGTTTTATGATAGTAAAAAATAAAAAGCTTTAACAGAAAATAAACACAATAAGCACAGAATGGTGATATTGTATAGATGGAATGAAAAGATATACTTGTAAAATTCTTCAAGTTAAGAGAGGTGTGATGCAATGAGATATTTATATTCAAATACCACAATTGAAGAAATATTCAACTTTTACATTGACTAAAGTGCAAAAAAATGAAAACAGAATATTACAATAGGAAATAAATGAAGCATTGTTGATATACTATAAATTCTACTGCTCTAGCTTAACTTGGATGAAATGCTAAAACGAATAAGCTATACCAAGACTGTTGTATAAGAGTGAAATTAAAACTTCAATAAATTTATAATTATCCAAGTTATATATAAAAACTTAATTTTAGTTTAACCTGTACTTGTAATTGAAAGAACATACTTATGCATAAAAATTAATATCTGACTGTACTAATAAACAGAACATTTATTTTTTCCTTTTTCTCCATGTAAAATAGTATAAAATACCCACATTCCGATGCTGGATTCTAAGGTCCCCCTCACGATTCACAGAAGCCTCAATGTATTAGTTAAATGTCTCTATTATCTTATTTACTTCAATATCTACCCCAATGCACAAATTCTTTAATTGATTTGTCTGTTGCCATTTCCAAAACTTAATTCAACTCTTTTTAGAAGCAAATAGTTTTAATTTTGCTTCTCAGATTCATTCTCCGAATTCTTCAATATTTTCTGATTCATATTTTTTTCCCATTATTTGTTACCATTTCCCAAACTTAGTTTATTTCAACTTTTTTTTTAATTCTCAGATTTGTATTTTTGTTCCAATGTTTGTGTTGAAAAAGAGTATTTGGCAGAAAACCTACACATATTGTTCATTCAGTAAGTGATAAAAATAGATACTTTTCTATAAACCTTCAGGAAGCAGAATTATAGGGTTTAAGGGCTATAAGGCAAAAAATTGACAAAAACTTTTTTGAGCCAAATATAAAAAATAATACACAGGTGCATACCCTCAGAACTCCCTTAGTATGCATGCAAAGTTTCAGGTCTCTAGGTTCTTTCCTCTTGGAGTTATGGCAGTCACACACACAGGCTCTTTTGTCATTATAGATGTTAATATAAATTTAAAAAAAACAGTCAAAACTATACTGAATATAATAAACTTAGAAATACAAAAAATAAAAAAACTTCTGGGAAAAACATTTTTCAAGCTCAATAGGCCTTCCAACTCTTACAAGTTCTGGGGAAAACACTTTTCTGATGAAACCAATGCAAATAACAGTGCTTTGAATCCATATTTCATCAAATATATTACTGTATATATGCAAGAATATACAGCCAAAATTAGCAAGAACAACAAAAAAATATTACTGTCCCTGTTTTAGCAATCAAACATGTTTCACATAAAATTTCAAAATATTTCTAAAATAACACTTTTCTATAAACTGATGGCTTTGATAGTTTTCCATTGAGCTAAACAGTTTAAAAGGAAAAAAATTGGGGCTTTTTCCTAACAGTATTAATATAGCAGCTAAAAAGCTTTTTATTCAACAAAATTTCTAAAACACAATTTACGCATGAATTATATCCTTTCCAGAAACATAACCACATTTAATTAATAAACTACTAACCAAAAATAGTACCAAATATTTTTTTTTCATCCACTAATAATAGTAACATATAAACACACTGAAAAGTTTCAAATAAACACGAAACAGACTAAATCAGCTTTGCTTTCAATTAACTAAGTCCTGATATATACATAAAAAATCTAATATGTCATGCATGAAACCTTTTGTAAAATTTATGGTTAACTTATAAGAACAAAAAATTAAACATGAAAATTTACATCACCAAACTAACCTGCTTGAAGACTTCTTCTATTCTTCAACTGGCTAGGTTTGACTAAGTGTTCACCATTTTCTTGGTTGCATACACTAGCATATAAATCACTTTCGTCACTGGGACTTAAAGGAGGATCATCTAGGTAGGCTGTGGGTGAAACTGTTTCATCATCATGGCCATGGCTTCCATCCGTTGGCAACTGTTCATATATACCATCAGAATCCACCCTGAAACCAATATAGAAAAAAAGTGATTAACGTTTTCACAGCTGCTACATAAAATCAGTATCATTCTATTCAAAGTGTAAAAACTTTTAACACCTGCCACACAAGCTAGCCTGGCATCTTGACATGGATAAAAAAAAAATAGTCATTCCAGAAAGGGTTTGAGTTGTTTTGAGTGCACAAAAAGAAGATATTTGGCACTATTTTCAAGGTCTAGGTCGCTGGACCACACCTGTGATCTGACCCGAGACTATTAGAGCCAACATAAAGAAGTTAACTTGTAAATGTAAAGTAAAACAACATGGCAATGAAACATGCTTAAAATATTCTAGATGCATTTGTGAATGTGATGGTTTAAGTGTAGCAATTAAACTAAACTGTGGATTCAGGTCAGATGAGGTAAAAACTTATTTAAAGATATCCCAATGAATTTTACATACCAGATGAATCTGAGATTTGTCAACAGATTACTGCATTGACAGTGAAACAAAAAAAAAGGGCACAATAGTGTTATTAACTTCAAAAAGGGGGGATTGGATTCATATATAAGAAATCATTAGTTTCAATATTTTGTGCAACTCAAATAACAGTAAAGCCCAAAGATGCAGCATTAAAGTTGAAGCAAACATACAATGCATTACAAGATGATTTCCCTAGTGATTCTCAAATTAAAAATGCCATTTCTGCAATGAAAAGTAAATATGAGAAGGATAGTATAATGTCCAGTATGGTACCATCGTAGTATAGTCTATATAAATTTCATCATCTCATATTTTCATCAATATTTAGTTATTGTTTTTTCAATTTAAAATTTGTGCAGAGCTTCATTCATTAGTATCTATCGAAATAACCCCAAATCACCGGTTTCCAGAATGACTTCCTTGTTTACCATCCTAGGCTCAGTATTAATAGATGCTGGGCTGGATCATGAAACGGGTGTTAAAACAATATAAATAAATAAAGTACACAATTTTAAAAACTCTTACAGGAATTTATAATTGAACTAAAGTAATGCAATTATCAATAAGTCTTAAAAACTATTTCCCAAACAGGAACAAAAAATATGTTTGTTTTTACTTAGATTTTCTAAATTGTTTTTTTGTTTTTGTTTAATAAATGGTCAATTATCTAAAGTTCTTTTGTAATATTAAATGCAAAATTGCTTATATGGCAGAAAAAGAGAATAACGATTATAACTGCTTCCACACCCACCCACTAAAAAACAATTTCTTCTTTTCTTTCTGAAAATATATACATATACACTGTGTTTTTTCATTTAGAATATCTCTTAAAATCTTTTAATATTTCAGTGGGAGGCGTT